AAAAAAAAAAAGTGATTTTTCAGAATAGACTTCTGGATCTTGAGTGCTGCAGAGAGAGTAATACTCCAAATAGTCCAATTGCTCCTCCCCAGCCCCCAACCCCTACCCTCACTTTCTTTGTCCCTTGCAGTCACGCAGGACTATGTGACTAATCCTGCCCAATGAAACTGGAGCAGAAGGGTTAGATGGTACTTTTGGCTGCAAACCCTGAAAAGCCGACTTGGGAGTCCTGTCTCTGTTTTCCACTGTGTCCAGCAACGGTGGGGGCTGCTTTCAAGATGGGGCAGCTTCTGTTGGGCTGGATCTCTGAGTGGCTCAGAGACCCTGCTGATCTGTTGGGGTCATATTGTGTGGATGACCAACTCTGGTGTTAGTCCTGACATTCGGGGCTGTGATCTCGCCTGCCCATTTAATACACAGGTGAAACAGAACCAATATGGTACGTATCTGTAGGTATATATGATATATCATATACATGTCCTTTATCCTTTATATATATATATCCTTTTATACATGCACATGTGAAACAGAACCAATAAGATAGATATATCTGTATCTATATATATCTCTTATCATATGTGTTTATCCTTTACATATATATATCATTTTATATATATAAAATATCTCCTTCAATCTATATATAGATAATAGATCTATGTCTATCTCTATCTATTGATCGATCTATCTATACCTATATCTACATCTCATCTATTTATCTATCTATAGAAAGAGAGATTTAGGGGCACCTGGCTGGCTCAGTCATTAAGCATCTGCCTTCAGCTCAGGTCATGATCCCAGGGTCCTGGGATGGAGCCTGGAGTCAGGCTCCCTACTCAGTGGGGAGTCTGCTTCCCCCTCTTCCTCTGCCACTCCCCCTGCTTGTGCTCTCTTGCTCATTCTGTCAAATAAATAAATAAAATCTTTAAAAAAAAAAAGAGAGAGAGATTTATGATAAGGAATTAGCTGATGTGATTATGGAGGCTGGGAAGTCTCATAATCTGCCATCGGCAAGCTGGAGACACAGGATCCTCATGGTATACTTCCAGTCTGAGCACCAAGGCCTGTGAACCGGGGTTGCTGATAGTGTTAATCCCAAATCCCAGTCCAAGGGCAGGAGAAGACCAGTGTCCCACTCAAAAGTCAGACCAGAAGAAAAAAGGGCCAATTCCTCCATTTGAAAGAGGACTTTGGTTGCCTCCATTTGGACCTCAAACTTTCCAAGTTGGTTTCTTCTTTCCAGCTTGTCTCTTGGCTCAGGTGGAAGACGCTGAGGGCAAAGCCTCCTGAGTTGGAAACTGAAACTACCCACTCAAGCATAAGGACCTCCCTGAGCTAGCAAGACCCCATCCATGATTGACTCCAAGACAATGATCGATTTGACCTTCACTGCCCACATGCACGTACCCACCCATCTTTGCCCCACATTTTCCTTCTATAAACCTGGAAGTATTTTCTGCACTTGGGAGACCGTCTTTGAGACACCAGTCCGCTGTCTTTCCTGGTGTTGGCCTCACTGAAAAAAATTCCTTTCCCTGCTTTTGGATTTTGTCAGCGACAAGTGGCTGAACCTGGTCTGTTCGGAGCCCCTGGAACCAGGTGCACTTGTTCCCTGGAGCCCCGGCCACACCTTTTCTGCTTTTTGATCTATTCAGGCTTTCCGTGGATTGAACGATGCCCAGCCACACTGGGGAGGGCAATCTACCACGTTAGAGAGTTCGCTGATTCAAATGCTAATCTCTTCTGGAAACACCCTCACAGATGCACCCAGAAATCATGTTTAATCTGGGCACCCCATGGCCCAATATCATTTTATAATATAACCTTGCACTTGACCTATACGATTAACCATCACAAGCACATGGCAGGCACATTTTCAGTTTTACCAGATACTTTCAGGTTCCTCCTCTCTTTCTGACCCTCCTTCTCCATGACTACTGCAGGCTCTCTTCTGCCCACCCCTCAGGCATAAGCCTTCCTCGACAGTTTCCCTTGGTCTCCCTTTTCATTTTATACTTTCTTCTTGGCTAGTGCCATCCATACTGTGGCTTCAGCTCTCACTCTGTGGATAGCCTCTGTAGTTGTTAGGATTAGAGTATGTTGTTTTTTCAAAGAAGAAAAAAATAGAAATGGTGGCTTACACAAGAAAGACATCTGGGGAACCTGGGTGGCACAATCAGTTAAGGGTCCCTTGGTTTTGGCTCAGGTCGTGATCTTGGGGTAGTGAGATTGAGCCCCGTGTTGAGCCCCATGTTGGGCTCCATGCTCATCACAGAGTCACCTTAAGATTCTCTCTCTCCCTCTTCCTATGCCCCTCCCCCGCCTCTCTCTCTCTCTCTCAAATAATAAATAAATAAATTTTTAAAAAAATCTTTGTCAGCGGGGAGTCCGCTTCTTCTTCTTTTTTTTAAAGATTTTATTTATTTGACAGAGAGAGAGATAGCGAGAGCAGGAACACAAGCAGGGGGAATGGGAGAGGGAGAAGCAGGCCTCCCGCAGAGCAGGGAGCCCAATGCGGGGCTCGATCCCAGGATCCTGGGATCATGACCTGAGCCAAAGGCAGACGCCTAACGACTGAGCCACCCAGGTGCCCTGCGGGGAGTCTGCTTCTCCCTCTCCCTCTACCCTACTCCTTGCTCGTGCTCTCTCTCTCTCTCTCTCTCCCTCTCAAATAAATAAATAAAATCTTTGAGCCTCATAGGGCCCCAAAGGGGCCTAATCATGAGAGTTTCCCTGCTTTTATCAAACATGGCCCCCCGCCCGGAGGGAGAGACTCCCAGCCTAGCCAGCTCCTCTATCAGCCAGACCAGCTGCACCCCATCTGGTCCTCAGCCTAATGGGTTCACCTCTCTGCCAGCCTGAGAAATTATCCAAACATGCCAATCACATCCTCCCGTGGGAACCAGAGGTCACCTCATCCTTTTGTCACTACAAAGCCTGCCTGCCATAGCTCCTGCTTTTTAAATTTTTTTCTTTATGAAAAAAAAAGTGTCCTAGCTTCTTGGTGATTATATACAAGATTCACACTAATTTAAGCATATTCTTTTATGAATAAGCAATTTTCATTACTAAACTTTGGAGGCCACAGTTTAAATAAATATGCTAATTTTGTGAATTTGGTGACTATTCTAGCTGTTTTGACCCTGTTTCTTGACTCTGCTCCCATGTGTGACACCCCCATGCGGCTCTGCATGGCATGCAGTGTCCTTCCCCTCCTCTGGGCTGTGAGTATATATGACTAATAAGCCAATGCCGATTTTTTCTATACAGGGTTGGGTGTCAGATGCTTGGCTACCTTGTATCATTTAGAGCAGGAGATCCCTCCTTCACCAGCAGGGTAGATAGGAGGTGATCAAAACCCTAGTCATTGCAGGGATGGCCTTCCTTCAGATGTGAGATGCAGGTTGTTTCTATCTTGTTGCTCCACCACTCAAGGCCACTATTCTCAGGGTGATATCATCACCCAAGATGACTGATGGAGTCCCAGCCATCACATCGACCTTCCAACAACAGGGAGGAGAAAGGCACTCTCTTTCCCTCAAAGTTGTGCATACCACGTCTGCTTACACAGTCATAGGGCTGTACCTAGCTGCAAGGGAGGCTGGGAAATGTGGCTCTTTATCTTAGGCAGCCATATGCCCAGCTAACTATCAGTAATTTTATGAATTTGGCTCAGATCCTGAAGGGCTAATTAGCCAGATGAAAGCTGATTGAGAAGTTTGGCCTTAGCCTCTGTCTTGAGGTTGAATGCCATTAGAGGATGAGGAAGGGCAAGCCCAAGGTGCACCTTGGGATCATTAGTTGGTACTGATTTAAGGCCCTTCCTTTCCTTCTCTAATTGGGAGACTACATTTCCCATCATTCTCTTGTTCTCTTTTGCATCAACCCCACCTCCTCCCTGTACCTCCCAGCAACCAAAATGAGACCAGACTGCTGCACTAGCTGCCCAGTGTTACTGCAACTCTCCCTTGTTCCCATGACCCTATGGTCCTCCTTACTCTGAGGTCAGAGCCAAGAGACATCAACACTCGCTCCCTGTGCAAATCTTCCCACACATACAGACACAATCCTACATGCATTCCTGAAGGTGAAGTAAATGGTGATTATGCTAGGCTCTATGTTGGCCGACCACACTCCTCCACTGCAGTCCCTGCAGAACTCTTTGCTGGATAGGGGAAGGCTGGGCTAGGCAGGGCAGGGCTAGGAAGGGCAGGGCAGGGCAGGGCAGAGCAGGGCTGGGCTGGGCTGGGCTGGGCAGTGCAAGGTAGAGACAAGGGAATTTATTGCAGGGAGATAAGGCCAGTGGGTCATCTCTAAGAGCAGTGGTTAGGTTCTCAGCCAATCAGCACATTCCATCCTTCTGGCCACAGGGACTGGTTCCAGATGGACATGTGATCAAAGCTAGGCCAATGAGATTTTTTTTTTTAAGATTTATTTATTTATTTATTTGAGAGAGAGAGAATGAGAGACAGAGAGCAGGAGAGGGAAGAGGGTCAGAGGGAGAAGCAGAGCTGAGCAGGGAGCCTAA